TTTTTCTTTCCGAACGCGTTTTTTGCGAATTGAAAAATAGATAAATTCCAAAAAAATGTTTACGCCCGCGATATCTTTTTATTCGCAATGCTGCGTCAAAAGTTTTGATTTATTATGGACGAACCATTTTCTATTTCGCGCTTTAAAAAGTGTCGAAATATTACAGTATTCTCTCAAGTAGTACCAATTTAACCAATTCTACCAATCGATACACAAAGGGATTTTTGTAATGCCGAACCAAAAGTAATGCAAGTATACGAATGGAGCGCCTTAGATTAAATTTCTTCAAAGGTGTTCCGCTGGTATCAGCAGCGTCGTGCTATCTTGGGATATGAATATATTCCAAGTTTAGGAAAGTTTCCTCGTAGTTTAAGAGTAATCACACTTACATCCCCAAATTTCAATTTGGCTAAGAGTTACCGCAAACTCCTAAAGAACAGATTAACACTTATTAGGCTAATTGTTCGACGCAGCATTTTGGAAATATATCACGTAATTTTGCTTAGTTCAGCTTGTTGTTTATTTTATTGCATTTACAGTATCCACTGGCTCTTGGAAAATTACTATACCATTAGTGAATCTGGCTTAAAAACATTTTTACATAAGAAAGCGTTGCTGTTAATATGTTAGTGTACTGACATTGATATGGATCTAATTTTGAATTAGGAGATATAAACTGTAAGTTAAGCAATTATTAGGTACATACGTTAGTATACACAATCAAACTCCAAACAATATCTTACCGTGTAAGGATTTGTAGAATTATCGCCATAACCCTTAAATCAATATAGTGAATTAACAAACAGACCTGTAATTAATAATTTCAGTGTAGATTTTATACAGGGTATTCACAAAGTGTATAAAGCCATAAATATCTTCTTTTATAGAGAATAATTGTATATATGAACACCCTGTATATAAACTCATAAATTAAAACTCATAAAGGTAAAACGTTCTCTTTTCATTTTTAATAAAACAAACTGAAACAAAGTGTATAGATTTGTGTTCTTTAAAAATATCTTTTTGATTAGGCTAATCTTTTGTCTTCTGAGTAAGGTGATTTTTCTGTAAGATCTTTCGTTTGGGACTATTTGAGGGTCTTTGATGTTTTTTTTTGTCGTTAGTTTTCAAATCTGAATTATACGTGTCTTTGTGATCAAGTGTAGGTTTTTTATTTCCTTCTTCGTGATTTAAATATATTTGGACGGAAACAAATAAGGACCGATTTTCTCTTTAAATCAGGGATGCAACCTAAAAAATATTTCAAATAATCAATACGTTATAAATTAAAATTCGATTATCCGGGGAAACCGTATAAATTATTATAAAAAATATGAAATAAACTGACTGAACATCTAGTTATTTATGATACGAAAGATATTTGGAACATCGCCAGAGGTAAACAAAAAATTAAGAGCATATGATATCTCAAACCAAACATATTGGCCGGCTGAAATAAAAGGAAAACGTTACAATTCGAGATGGAAACAGTTTTAAGTACTTCGAATCCTCTTATAACTTTGAAATATGAGTTCATATTTGTATCATTACATTTACGACAATCAACCACATATTTAACCAACCTTTTACAACCTCGAGAATGTAGTTTTGTGATGTAGCAAGCAATAACTCAAAGAGATGATATTTTTATCATAAATTGTAGTTAAATTAATCTACAGTCAACCTATACTCTTTTTAAATACAATAATGCGAGACGAATTTATGTAAGAAGAGCTAAATTGGCAATGATGAATTTTGAAAATGTAACATTACGTTCGAGTTTCCATGTAGCTATTTTCATAACTTACTTTCGAATCTGACTTTTACGGGGAATGCAATGGCGAATTTTACGAGTAATAAAATTCCACATACGCTATCCGCGGAGTAGAAATAATTTGAAATTAATATATCCAACAGTCGAGGACATATGCTGAAATTTGAAAATGCCATTGTCGGAAAATATCACCGCAGTTGTTTTTAAAATCTATACGGCGCCAAGTATTCATATCCAGTGGGAAAACGAGATGACGCACGACGTTTACTTTCCACATAGGCGGACCGGACAGGAGAAGTCGAGTTAAAAATCTTTTGTACCGTTTCTACTCATCTATTTTCTTTAAACAATATTTGTATTTCAGTTGGATATAATTTTTATTACTGTCCAGTTCAATTGCAAGATAATTTCTCTACTACACGATCAAATAAAAGCATCTACATATTCAAGATAATTCTTTACCTATACAATTTTAAAAGCTTCTTAAATCAGTGGATTCTCCAATGAATGATTTAAAATTTACCTTCCACAAACTTGATATTTTATTGATAATATAGAAAAATAATACATTTTTGCGTCCGTCCATGATATCGAATGACTCTATCTCAGTTTTATTCGCCTTTGCTTTCTAGACTTCACTTTAAAATACTCGAGGACAAATCTGATCACCTTCACACTTTCTTTTATTATCTAAAACAATATTTTCAGCTTGAATGTGTTTTCCAGGGATTTTAACTTTCTTATTTTTATTTTGTTCTAAAAATAAGAATTCAATATAGTTAGGAAAGGGGCGAATGTTATTTGAAACGATTTTTCTGATATTTTATTTTTAAAATTTTTGTTTCCAAAGTGATATTGTGTTCACTTCTTAGATTCGAATAGTAATAAAGTAAATATAAATAGTAAATATAATACTTCACTTAAAAATATTAATTTAAAAAGTGATACTCGATCCATGGATATTAATCGAATTCTTATAAAATTTGTTTTGCTCAAAAAAAACTATACTTTTCTGCTGAGACATTCTGGTACAATTCTAAAATCAAGAAAACCAAACCATTCGAACGGTTAATTAGTAACACTATGGTAAAGCGCTGTGTATTATCAAATTCCTGCTTCATTGTAACGACCTTTCCCATTTCAACAATTCATCAATTTACTAGTTTATCACATAAACGTATGTATTTGTTAATGTCTGAAAATGAAAAACTGTCGGTATATTTTAGAATAATTGGTTTGAAAATTAATTTACCTCGAACTGGTTATGACTTTCAAATTTAAAACATTTTGCACAGTGGAAATAAAGTTTTTCGGGGGTTTTGCAAATGGCTAACGGCGAAGTTTAATTTTTTTTAATTAAAATATCTATAGAGTTAAGGGAAAGGTGGATACGTACAATGCATTACGTGGCTAAATTATTCAATAAAGTTACTCTGATTACTAAGCACATTATTAATATATTGATTAACAGATTTCAGTTAATATTATTCTGGTTGATTAGTTAAATTATCTATAGGTCGAAGTAAAATAAACCAATCATAATAAACTCCGAGACACCAGAGGTGATAAACCGAAGTTTAATTAAAATGGGCCCTATCCCTCGATCCCAAATTTCCCTTACAGATCTGAAACAGTTCGAATATGGACTGAAATCTGACCACATTACCGAATTTCTATAATTCTGATAATTACATTAACACGTTTTCCGTGCGTCCCCAACTTTCAGCATCCTCCAGAGGACGACCTTTACATGGCAAATCGAATTATGGCATTATAAACAGATTTGCACCGTAGTCTTCAACTCGTATCAATCAATTCAGTTACATACCTTCCGTTCGATAAGACTGTAACGGGAAATTATCCGAATTTTTACCTTTCATTTATTCACATAATGATCAATTTTATAACTAATATGCTTGTAAAGGGGCTAGTGTGTACTTAAATGTTTCAAATGCGCGCTTGAAGCATTATGCACCAGTATCGCTTTTGCTTTGTAAGTTCAAATTTCAGCTATTTACCCATCCAAAAATAGAAAATTTTATGTATGTTTGTACTTAAACAAGCGAAATTTCTACTTATACTGTTAAAATATTATTTATTGTTTCAGTTGTGTAATACATCCGAGTAGTTGCGTAGATTTGTGACTATTTTGGCTTGAAACTTTGCAGCTTGCTTAACTAAAAATATAATATAATAGATCGATAATTCCCAATATCGTTAGACACATTAAATCAAGGGCGAAATCTTTGATAGGTTGATAATTAATTACATCAAGAGCTGTCAGGTTTAACTGCTAGAGATTTCAGAGATGGGTTTTTGAATTATTTTCGAACGAAACAGAATAAGCAAAATCTGTTTTTGACGTGTGATATCTCTAACAGCTTACCAATTTTGTTTCATATTATTCGCTAAACAGGACATGCATGTGATGTACTTGAATCGAATTGAAATGGCACATTCGACTACAGTCTGAACAACGCTTGGAAAAAAATCAGGTGGGAAATTGTTTTGTTCGTTCCGCTTTTCGAGGTATTAGCCACTTCGTTTTTTTTGCTTTGGATATTCGAAAATATGTTCGAAATTTCATGTAACGAATACGAACAGGAGTTCAAAGGAATAATAATATTGTCAAATGTGAGGAAAATTTGCGATCATTTTTAAAACGTTCCATCCAGATCTTTAATTGTAAAACGTATAGAATTGAATTTAGAAGTGGCTGAAACTATTACTCTTGTTTTAATTAAATCCACTGGGATGTTCTAACACCGCTGGGCTTTTGTGTGTGCCTTGCAAAAAACTAAGGGTTAACTTTGCTAGAGGGATCGATAAGTTAAGCAGCCAATTCGTCATTAGTTATGCAATAAGGGTGAAAGAATTCGAAATGTTAAGGCAAATAAAAAAGTTTAAACTTTCCCAAATTCATTAATTCACTCCCTAATTGAAAGGATGCAGAAATATAAAACTAGATTTTTTTTCAAGGATTCGCCTCGCTCTCTTTTTAACTTAAGTTTTAATTTAAATTGTTTGTTTTTTCAGTAAATTTTCTCTCTCTGAATACAGTTAAGATTTACAGCAGGTATTTTTTCTAAAGAAATTCATTAGTAAGAAAAAACTTCGCGGAAGATAAAAGAACGAAAAAATACAAGTTCTAAGGTAGTAAGGCTTTTGCCGTCTGCCTGGGAACCCAACATTTAAAGATTTTCAGTCAATAAAAGAAATAACTCACCGTTTTATTTCCTAAATTTCTAACTCGGCAACTGAGATAAGCTGATTTCCCAACAAGGGCTGTTACATTGCTCGGCGTCATTGCATCGAAATAGGGCTCGAAGCGATTGTGAGGAATTACAGGTGGTCCCATAGGTAGAGGAGGAAGGGTTTCGCTCTCCGGTAGTGAGTTGAAACCCGAAGCTGAAGACGCCATCCCGCCATTTACCAACAGCAGACCTAGAAAATAGCAACATTCACAAATGAGACTGGGTTTTAGATCCAAATCGGATGAAAATTTAAAATAAATGGCATTGGGCACGAGAGTTTAAACTCGCCCAAATCACACAGGGCCAATTTTTGAGGGTCACAGAATTCAGTGTGTTATACGATATATCCAAAATGTAACCCATATAATAATATATTTTCATATATAAAAAAAGAAAATATTATTAATCATGATATACGCGCGAGGGTTAAGATGAAAATATGCACAGAACATAGCACGGGATACGGGATATATAGACAAACCAAGTTACCTGCCATGCATAAATATTTTTGTAAGAAAGTCCATAAAAGTCGAGTCAAGGTGTATAAATTTTAGTAAGTCACGTGCTCTTTTTTGCAGGTATTTTTTTCGTTCATAAGAATACAAGAAATAACTCTGTTATTTTGTAAATCCGGAAGTATCGTATAACCATTTTTTTTAATTAAAAAAATATTCGAGACAATCGCAAAAAATAATGAAAAAAAAAAAACGTAACATAAATTCTCGACAGCGGCATTAAAATTCTTTCAAAACGGAAATGAGAATTTTTACCAGTAACATATTTCAGCAAGGATGATTGAAATTATTAAATTTCACTTCAGCACTAGTGCAATAAGCCAACGAGATTTAAATAAAATTTCAGGATATTGCGCAAATCTTTTATTCTCATTACCCTGGGTTTCCGATTATTTTTTCAAGCAAAAAAAAAACAATTAGTTTGCGAAAGTGTTAATTTGTCAATCAGGCTGAGTAAACTATTGGAATAATGTATGCTAAAATTCCTTAAAATATCTCGATTTTAAAAAGGTATTGAGTGTTTTAATTTTTAATCTGTGATTTAAAACTTCCAATGTATTTTCTTATCTTAGACTGTAAAACTGTGAATTCCAAAGAAAGTTAGGGATACTTAAGTGATAGAATGAGATTTATGTTTCCCTAAAAGTGCCTGTTACGCAGAGGAAAAGTCCGACCGGGAAAAGGCGAAATTTGAAGAAGCACTAGAAAATAGGTCTTATCAAGTTTCATTACCGAATTCACAAAGGCGGGATCTCTCGGTAGATCGATCAGAAACTTGAAATTTACATCGTCTTAATATTCACGAATGCTAAATTTAACACTCGTCCTTATTAATGAGTAGTTGACTACTTAAATTTATCAATAAATATTTATCTAAAAAGCATTTGAATTGTATTATTTTGTTTTAGACTCAGTACTTATAAATAAACAAACTTGTCATGCCGTTTATTTTTGGTCTTATCAATCACTTGCATAGTAACAAATATCACGAATAGTATAAACTGTATTTGTATTAATATGTAAATTTTTTGATCATTATGTTTAATGAGTATTGCGTCGTTTTGCGTATTTGTCAGATATAAATTAAAATATGTGATCAGGTTAGAGGTAAATAATTAACATACCTACCGAATTGAACGTGATATATAAACCGCATTACACAACAAATATTACCTAAAATTTATAGGAGGTAATAGCACGTGATAACTCGACCTGCAGTATAATAATGTGCAATGAAGAAAACTCACAAATATGCCCATGCTTTCAGACAATTTTGAAAAGAAAACGTCGCGAATTACAGACGCATTTGAATAGGTATCTAAAATCCATATTTACCTTCGTCACAATGAACCAAAGTTGCATTATCCCCATTAAGATTTGAGACGGTTCATAAGGTCGCATTCAAGCAGAGTATTTTCACTTTACTGACACGCTGATATAATTCGGAATCGAAGGCGGATTCCTTCTGAAATTTCTACTCCTAACATTCATTATAACGAGTTCTATTGTTAGAAATTCGCAATGGTTCCGATGCCTTCACGGAGTTTTGTTATTACCTCTTATTCCCATTAAATAATATTTTAATTTTAATAATTCGCAAATGACGAACATTACTTAGACCGTGATTATATAGAAATGGATTAAAATTTAGTAAGCTCAGAAAGTAATCTCAGAAAAAATAATAGTGAAAATTACAAAGGAAGGAATTGTTTTAAATTTAACGTAAATACACAATAAATATTCTTCCAGCAACATTATATTTTGTATTTTATAAACGTATCAGTGTTAACAGCTTATTTGTTCAAAATGGTTTTATGGCAGGAAGTAATTATATAGGATTTGAGGAGTGAGTTTAATATCCCAATCATTGATTACTGTGGTTTGCAAATTATTAATCACTTGATCGGAAAATTAGGCATGACATAGATTTTCATTACAATAATTACACTCCATTTTTCGATTGATGTTCAACATAAAGCAAATTAAAAATGTTATTATAGGATTTTGATATTTACTGATTTTTACCTACATATTTATTTGGGATCAAGTTTATGAAATATGTCAATAAATTTTTGTTATTAAAATATAATATTAGTTTGTATGAATGCACAAAAGTAGAAATTCGAGAAAAGTATAACCAATTGTGTTGTACATGCCATTATAAATAAGTATATAGAAGGGTAATTTAATTAGGCATCTGCGTATGAGTGGCTTCGTTGGCATAATCTTGCGGAAACGCCGAGGACTGAGGAAGCGGAACATCCTTTTAGATTCCGGTCCTGGTTGTACAATGGAGGATGCGAATAGGGAACGCCTGACTTTCTGATTTTAACTAGCTTTTCTCGTGAATCGGTAACATGACCCTAGTTTAATTGCTCGATTATCTGTCAACGTTTTCTCAACTCCATTAATCTTCCACCACCCACCACAAAAAATTGTCTATCATGTTTGAGGTTGAGTAAATTTTAATCCTTATCTCTATAATTTGTTAATACATAGACTTGATTGATGATTACCACAAAAATGTTTGAATTGTAAATTTTTAAAGAATAATGTAAATTGTTTACAAAAAACACTATGCAGATGAAGGTTAAATGTACAATAAAAGAACGAAATCTGACGTTCTGTTCAGTTTTGTTAACTGAAAATAAATCAAACTTCTATTCTGAACGTCCAATTCGGTGAACTTTCGCTATTGGAATGATATGTACACACTGGAAAATTGCGATATAACAAATTCATTTAACAATTCCCTTTACTTGAATATGACGTTTTAATTCTTTTAATGGAACAGTGATTCAATTTTAATTGCCTCTTTTGAATTATGGGACAAATAATCGCCGAGGAATTTTGTTTATTCCTTTTGTGCCGGTCTGTTTTAGTTCGCAGCTATTTGAAACCGTTGGGGAATTTGAAAATCACTTTGGCTATTCCAATTCTATACGTGCATATTTTTGTAAAACGCAATTCTTTTGTATATTCTTCTGGAGACGATTTATTGTTCTATTTATGCGTTTTATTCTTTAACCACTATATAAAATCGTCTTATTTGCACATTTAATAGGCCAAAATTAAATCATATTTTGTTGTTTGTGCAAACGTATATCAAATTAAATTAAGTAAAATGCTACATTAAATTATTATCGGGAAAATATTTGGAATTAGTCCGAAATAATAGATATTGCGTATTGTTATGTTACACAAAAGGGCGAATTTAAATAGCAGATTGTAATATTAAAATAGAAATGCAAGTAAAAACATGTAAATATTGCATTCGCATGAAATACATCTAACAATTATTATGTTAATAAGTTTGTGTTTTGCAAATAACGATGCAGAGTTGTAAATGATACAATTGCGAAATGTGTTTCGCCACTAAAAGCGGCAAATCTGTTTATCTCAAATGTTTGCGGTAATATTATAAGGAAGTCAGGTCAGCTTTAGTATAACTGTCAAGCAGGTGTCAAGGAGATTAGGGGTAACTGTCGTTAAGCTCTGGAACCGCGTTCTGGTCGACCGCAAGCCCGCTCGTGGCATATCGAAACCGCATATCTTTCGCCGGTTGACGTTCTTAAAAAAATCGCAATTTGTCGTCCCTTTTGATCTCTTTTACAATGGATGGTCGGATTTTTTCCTTAAATGAAAATACTTTACTGTTCTGCAGTCGAATCTTGAATCTAAGGAACGCTCCCACCAAAATTTGCAATTAATCTAATTATTCTTAACCACCAATATTCAGATAAATGTAGAGTTTCCACCAAAATTTTTAGAGAGCTACAGATAACAATTTCTCATTTTTTTAAATACTTTCAATACATTTTTAAACTAAATAAATAAAAAAATAGTTAACAACGCAATTAAAAAAATACCATTTAGTGATGGTTTTGGTTATGTGAGGCATTCGCTATATTTTTGGAAAAAATCGTTTGTATTAATTTGCTATTTAAATGCATAGTTGTATCTTAAAATTGCATTCGCCTGCCTCGTTATAAAGCACAATAACAGTGTAGTAGTTTATTTTCACACCAATTAACCTATTTTTAAGAAAGAATGTATAGCATGAAAGCGCAATGTAACATGAAGTCTGATATCAATTATTGTAATTTTAGGCATGTAATAATTTGTTTAAACGTGCAATGAAGGTATTGAAATCGTTGTTAAGCAAAGCTTCAGCGTCTACCCTAATGTTTGATTAACGTTTAGTGCTAATTTACCTTATACCTATAGTATCTTTCGTGATTTTAATTTTGCATTTAGCTAGCTCTGGTTCCGACCAACGCAAACATCATAGTCGGTGTGTCAATAATTTCCATATGGATGAAAGTGCTAGTTGTTTGACTTGGTAAAAATCGTTTTCGGATATTTGCGGAAATTCGAATAGTCAATATGCTGACTTTCAGTCGTTATGACCGCCGAAACACTACGAGGTTTTTGCCATTAAATTTTATATCATGCCCTGCGAATGCTGTCAGCAATATAAAAACAGGTCATTTTGAATTGTAATTATTGCGGAACGAACGCATTTTTTTGTGAACCGAAAATTTCGGGTCCAGTATCGAGTGCTAAAAATTTGCGTATACGACTACAGTTTTTTTTTTATATTTTCATCGTATGTGCGGATTTAAATACCCTTATAATACTCGCGCGTAAATATAATAAATAATATTCTTTAGGC